AAACATGGGCCTCACCTCCTACCTAAACTCACTATCTTCTCCCATTTTCTTCCCATTCGAACCCTAGAAGAGCAGAGGGCAACAGCAGCAAGCGCAAGGTCTGTTGGAACCTTAGCACACGTTGGGTTTGTTGGAACCTAGTTGCGGGTTTGTTGGAACCTAGTTGCGGGTTCCTTGGAACCTAGTTGCAAGTTCCTTGGAACCTAGCCGTTGGGTTCGTTTGAACCCTGGCGGTTGGCGCTGGGTTCCATCAAACTCAGCATGTGTGGGTTCCTTCGAACCCATGGGCAAAAAAATTTCTATTTTTTTTTTAAATTTTTTGTGGGTTTGGTTGTTTGATGAAAATGAAGAATTGATTGATGAAGGAGGGAGGAAGGAAAAAGAAAAGGCGCCTGTTGGGTTAGATTCAACTCAGGCGTTGGGTTCCTTTGAATTGATTATTTAATTGTTTCATTGAATTGATTGTTTAATTGCTTCTTGAATTGATTGTTTGAATGAAGAAGATTCAAGAAAGAGGATGTTGGGGAAGAAGATGATGGCAAAATGGTAATTTTGGTGGGCCTCACTTTTTTTTTTGGTGTTGGGTAAGAATAGACCTGCCATGTCATCATTTATCCATTTGTAAAGCTGATGTGTCTTAAATTTTTGACATGTCATTAAATTTCTGTTAGTTAATGGTAGTGGTTTAAGGGAAGGACCAAGTTGAGATAAAATTGGTAAATAATAAGGATCAAATCAAGGATTTTTTTAGTTTAAAGATTAAATCGGGGGTTCATACAATAGTTCAAGGACTAAAAATGAGGTTTTAACCTTAATATTATAATAAATAATAAAAATAATATTTTGAAAATTTATTTATTTATTTATTTTTTATTTTGATTGGACAATAAAAAGCAATCATTTCTCATCTTTTGTCTCACCCTACTCGCATGCTATGCGACTCGAATTCAAAATCTTTTTACTTCCAACAAAAAAAGATAACTATTGAATTATTTAGGTCGTTGACCGAAAATTTATTCTTTTAAACAATCCTTAACCTATAATTTTTTTTCACCTATTTTGAAAGAAAAAAAATTCATCTACAACTTTTTTTTATATTAGATCTATTTAATAATTTTTTATATTATCTTTGTCTATATCAATTTCTTATTAAATATAATAAAATTAATAATCTAATAAAATTATAATAAAACTTAATTGAGAAAAGGTATAAATAATGGTGCTAACTTTTTATTTTTTCTATTTAAAGATATTAACTTTGTCAATATCTAAATAAGAATACTAATTTTTAACTTTTTAAGTTTAAGGATGTTAACTTTTAATTTTTCTATTTAAGTATGTCAACTTTAAACATTTTAACTAAAATGTTTGTTTGTTATGTCAACATTATCATCTAATTAATCCTTAAATAGAAAAAAAATTAAAAGTTAGTATCCTTAAATATAAAAAATTAAAAATTGATATCCTTAAACATAAAAAGCTAAAAATTGACATTCTTAATTAAAAATTAATAAAATTAATATTTTTAAATAAAAAATATAAAGTTAGTATCCTTATTTGCACTTATTCTCAAACTTTATTACAAAACTTAATAACTTTTCTTACAATACTTTTTTAACTTTTCATACAATACTTTTGTCCCTAATAAAAAGTTATGTCCCTTTAATCATGTATAATTACTTCCAAAGCTAAGTTAAAGCAAAAATCAAAACCAAAATAACTAAGGTACTTTGTATTTCTTTTTCATGAAAAACCTCAACTATACATGTCCTAATGATAGGAGATTGGCTGGGTGATACGTGGCAGAAGCGCTATTTCCTCTCTCACCCTTTTTATCTTCTGTGATATATGGCAGAAGCACTATTTCCTATCTCATATTTCCTTTTTCTTCTTTAATACTAAAGTCCATATACGTTCTTTGTATGCTTCTTCTTCTTCTTTTTAACACTAAAATCCATATACTTTTTTTGGTCATACAAAATACCTTTCAATCTACTTACTTTTAACACTCATTAACCCCATCTCAACGATGTCATGCTCTACACGTAAACATCAGAATATTAAAGACTAATTTTTCTTCTTTTTCTTTTTCTTCTTTGTCCTCACTACAACTTAAACTCTTGGAAGCAAGCAAGAAAGAAATGAAATAGAGAAGAAAAGCAAAGAAAGAAATGGATGACAAACAAAAGATCTAGAAGAAATAACTAGAAGAAAGAAAATATAGTGAGAGAGCAAAATGAAGATATATCCAAAGGATGTGAAAGAGGGAAGAAGAAAGGGAAAAGGGAAAGGGAACGAGGAAGAAAGAGAGGAAGCTACAATGAGAAGGGAAGAAAGAACCAAAATATAAAGAAAGCAAAGAAGACATGCCTAGAAATTTAAGGAAAACTTGTGAATATCAAAAGTCTAATCTTGAGTTTACATAACTTCAACCTTTTAAGGGTATGTTTAATTTGTAGAAACAAATTTACTTTCACCAAAAGCGAGCATGCTTGCAGAAGTTAGTGAGTGGTGGCTAGGCAATGACCCACAGCCCAGCATCAAACATTGCCTAGACGTGATTAGTTGAATTGGACATATTGCTTTTAAAAAAAAAATTATTTCAAAAAAATGTCAAAATATCAAAAATGGAAGAAAAAAAATTAAACAAAATTAAAATTTTAAGGACTGGACTACACATTTTACCAAACTTAAAGGACCAAAGTGCTAAAAAAAGTCAACATGCACTGTTTCATTTAAGTGATATGGACCTTCTTCTTCAACCTCTAGCACCTTCATTGGGGTATTCTTAGTGGGTGAACTTCGGAGCTCCAGTGTGTGATGACGCATCCCATCTTCATTCTGACAGCAACTTTGGTAAATAGGCTTGCCTGGGTCAATTGAGGAAGAATCTGGTGATGGTTCTTGAATTATCGTATGATTATATTGTAGATCTAAGAAAATGTGATTGATCTTGGCCAACTGTTGCCAAATTGGGCAAAAAAGTGGGCGAGGCAAGGCGATACCCCACCGCCCTCCCACTAATCGTGATAATTGGCCGACTAATTGCAAATTTTACTACACTAAGGGC